ATCTTTTTTTTAGTTGTTTACGTTGCAAGGGCGAAATCGCAAGTAAAATCACACCCTGTGAATAGCCGGACGGAAGCTGCAGTCTGCAGAATACACGACAGTACTCGACGTGTCAAAGAGAGCCAAGTTTGGCTCAGGATCAAAGAAGACCTTCATAGAAGGCGAGCAGTATACGTGATTTCGAAGTTAGTTCAGCATGCCCAGAAGCACCACCGAAACGCAGGTTCTTTGCAAACTGTATCCCGTCGCAGCTGCACGGTTACTCGCGAACATTAACGTTCAGACGGCAAAAAATATTCCGCGAAGTCGAGGTGTTTTGCGGATGCTGATTTGACGATCGCGAGTTTCTGACGAAAAACTGATACATCCTGGCGCAGTTTCGTTTTGGGCGAGTACCTTGTGCTCGCAGTATAGAGCTCTCATGCATATTGAATACACGTATATCGCTGCTTCCGAGGCTAAATCAACGGAGTTTGGGCATTCGTCGACGTGACTTTTAAGCGGCTCTGACCGAACAACGCCACGAGTTCCTCCAAGTTGTATCTCTACCACAGCCACCGACAACTTAAGAAACGATGGAAGCGACCCGCCCCGACTACCTTATTGCGATCAAAATTTGATTGATCCGATTTCGATTGCCCGCGTAAAGCGGTCCATCGAATTGCGGCATCAGTTGCTAAGAACCCAAAAGTAACGAATCAAGAAACCAACAAGTGCGTACATTTTAAGTCGCACACCGCGTTTCTTACATTTTCTGCGACCATATAAGTTGGGGATCCAGTAAGTTAAACTTCGTTGTAATCCGGTAAAGACTTTCGTTACTGAAATAGTAACCAATTTCCGTGGCTCAAATGCTTTTTTTTTTTTTTAATAATAATTGATTAGCGTACAACGCTGCTTACATGACATCCAACAATAGGAAAGCTTTGATGATCCAGCCGCCATCTGCACAAAGTTCTTGACTAGTCTCGTGATTACTGAGTTGTCCGCTTCAATCACCAAGGATCCGTAAACAGCGGGGTTACACCGCTCAAACATTGTAAACATTTTTTTTTTTTTTTTTTTTTTGCAAACACGGGTTACCGCAATATATCCGTGGTTTGAATGCTCCGGCGTGCAGAGTTTTCTCCTTGGACTCGTTTTTACGTGGCATTCGAAGCACGGATCTCGCGCTGAGTCGCGTTCGAATCTGTATGCAGACTGTCTTTTGTTTGACGTAAGCAGTGTGACCCCGGCTTTATACGTTAAAAATTGCCGCGCTTACGAAAGTTGTGCACCCGTGTTTCGCTCGAGGTGTCCCCATGAAATAAATATAGGGCAATTTTGGAAGCAACTAAATTAAAGGTGCGCGAGTATCCCGGTTTCGAATTCGGATCGAATAATGATTGCACGAATAATTCGATTCGACTTTCGGATTCCTATAGTATTCGAGTTTTCGAATAATTCGATGCAGCGAATATCAGTGCTGCTGGCACATATTCAAGTTTATCCGGGAATGCAGTTGATGCGGTGATACAGTCCTCACAAGCCTGTGTTTCATCTAAATTAAGCCTGCACTCCGAAACCTTTAATAAAGAATCACATCGACAGAAAGCAGTTTTGTTTCCTGCGTTCCTCGAAAGAAACAGCCATGCCCCCAGCTTCGTGGATGCGTTCGACGAAAACTCGAAAAATCCCGCATGTCGCCATTTTCTTTAAACTTCAAGCGTTCGTTTCGCGTCGCCTGTAGCCTCTCTCCACTATAAACCTATCGTCGTTTGTTGAATACATCACGTGACAAATTCTTGTTAAAATATACAACAAACAGTGATAATTTAACCGGTTCACATTCACTAACCCGTTGCTCCCCCTCTCCGTCGAGCGAGGTGCCACTCTAGGTGACACAAGACGTCATCCGGTTCAAACGCACCGTCCACATCGATCCATTCATTCATTCAGACAGTATGCGTGTTCACACGTGAATGGGTGGACACGTCCATCGGCTGTGTTTTAAGTTCCTAGTTTAAGTGTGGCGTTTAACGCCACTTTTTTAGTGGTCGAAGTGACCGCAGTCCGACGGAAGCTTATTGCGGAGCAAGCACTGACCGAAATGAATCCTCAATAAGACACGGTGGTCATGTCTTATTACGGTTGCGCGTTTCGCTTCGTGATTAACGGCATTCTCATAAGATAATGCAACAAGCTCATTGGCCGTGACGCGATAATAAGATGAGTTGCTCCAAAATAAGTTTCGTAAGTTATCACTTACTAGAAATTTTGCAGTTAAAACCACCCAAAAAATGTTTTACTTGTTTCTCTTTGTTTCGCGTGCCTGCAGGAGAATAAGCTCGTTAGACTTTTCCGCTAATCCTTACGTTTCTTTCTTTCTTTCTTTTTTTTGCGAAGCTTGCGAGTAAAATAAGGGAGTTTTAGAATAACGTACGCAATTTTAGCGCACGTTAGCGCTATATTTAGAGCTTGTATTAGAGCACGCGACGCAAGAGAGTTTTAGAATAGCGTTTCTCCGTCGCGACGCGAAAGCCCAAGTATCTCGCGCTTGCGACGCCACCAAGATACAGTAACAATTTTTATTTCACATACGAAATAATGCAAACTTCAGAAGAAAATAAAAACAAGTTTTTTAGTCAATAGTATTCTTTTAGATTTGTTTAAACATGAGAACGCGATGCGAGTGGGTGACCGGTCGTGTCCGCTCGCGTCGCCTCGGCAAGAGAGGTCTCGGGTACTGACCTTCGCACATCGTACCTTCGCCGAGAAATGTTCGTGCGTCGCAAGCATCAAGTTGCCGGTGATCGTTGCCAAACCGAGTACAATGTCGTCCCGTATTGAAAATCGCAGTCGCGAGGATGTCGCCGACGTCGCACTCACGACGCCGCAGAAGCAGCCGCCGACATAATCCTGGAAGCCGCCATTTTTTTTTTTTTTTAACTCTGCTCGTCTTGGCTTTGGCCAAATTCTCATCACGAATCCTCCTTGGAGAAGCGTAAAGACTCTTTGCGTACACGCGCTATTTCCGAGAAATAGCGCATGCTGAAATTGCGCACGCAAAGTGCAAAACCTGATTTGCGTTCGGAGCATGCGCAGTGGCGACGACGCTATTATTTGCGTACGCAGAGCTTTAGCGTGCGCTATTCTAAAACTCTTTATTGTTGATAGTCGTATTTGATTCGACAGAGTTTTTTCGCCACTATTCGATTCGAGTTGAAATTGCACTATTCACGCACCCCTAAACTAAATATCGATTTCGGGGCACTTCCTAGCACTTAAATGTAACATTTAAAGCGCTTTGAAGCACCCAGTTATCACATTTAAAGGATGTTAGAGTTCCTAATAATGTTGTTTCTTCTAAAAAGTCTGGAGTGGTCAAATCTTGAGTTGGTTTAGAATATCGCTACAAAACCCAGTTGGGCGACCGCTCGAAATTGCGAATCTGCATTGTTTAGAGATTGTGTGTTTGACGATTTGGCACCCTTATAAGCGGAACACACTGCGGATTCGATTTACAATACGCCCGACATCCATAACCAGGGTGTAAGATAGACAGGTGGGGAAACGGCCCATAGAAGCCTACCGCAGCGCCGTGACCGGATTGTGTACTCGTCTGCTTGCGGGTACCCCCGACTTGCGACAGATGGCGCTGCGGCGAGAGGAAAAAAATCGGAATCGGATTTGCGTGGAACTCTATGGGAGACTGCGCAAAATAAACCGAGAGCACGACAGTCTTTCATTAAAAAAATCCACAAAAAACCATCTCCGTCAGTTTAGCCGGTCGCCACCGGTCGCCCACCCGAAGTGAGAGTTCGCGGTGCTCCACATAGATGGCGCCACAGAAGAAGAGAAAACTGAGGGGGACACAATGCGGTCACTCATTTGGCTCTTGTTTCCCCACCTGTCTATCTTACACCCTGTCCATAACATACATCCATGAAATCGGAACTTCATTGTTATTCCCACCCACTCGCATATTCCCTCGCACTGATAACGTCCGTGAAGTGCATCCAATTTTCCCTTCCATCGGTCTCGTTTCTTAACTCCACCTTGCCATTAACAATAACGGGCTGGAATAACCTCCCTAACAGTATCGTGACCCAGACAGATCATGACACATTCATATCCACACTAACCATATATTTGCAGTTGCACTAATAGTAAATTTGATTCGTGTTTGTAGAAATGTTTTATTTGGGTATTTCTTTTTTCTGTTTAATTAAGTGTGTTTCCTGAAAGTGCTTGAGCGTTTAACTTTCCGTTTCTTAATGTTCTCCAACATGCACTCCCACCTTGTCTAACGCCCGTAAGTGCCTTCGAGGTTTAATAAATTGCGAATAATAAATTAAGGTGATGACCTGGTTTTATAAAGCAATTATCCTAATTTTGTTAGTACTCGGCGAAATGCCCCAATAAACCCAGCGACGACCAGATGCGCGCGCACTTTGCCGCAAAGTCACGTTGAACACTTTGTTTACCGCGCACGGATTGTTTTGTGCGGCTACTTCGACATCCACCCCAGAACTACGGCAAGCTGACGAGAAGGTGTTCGATTTCGACGCTCCTTCAAAATTCGAGAGGAAAGGAGAATAAGAACAAAAAGCTACAACGAAAACACCTGCCGCTGCATTTGTATCTGGGAGATGCAAGCCATCTCGTTCGACGTATCTCGAAGCCTACCACCCCCGCCTGCAGATGTCGCTATGGTAGGAAATTGGCGTAGCCGACACCGCAATAATTATCAGCCATAAAACTATCCGCCTATGGCACGCGAACAAACCACGCCGCAGAAACTGCTCGAACGCAAGTTTTGAACGTGGCGCCAATGCGCGCGCCTTGTTTTTTTAAAAAAAGAACGCGACTCCGCCAACTCCGCAGCGACGACGGAACCAGATTGTTTTGTTTACATTCGGGCGAAACGCCGGCGAACGACGGCGGAGCGCGCCCGAGAACGAGCAAAAACCACGTCCACCGCTCAATCCCCACCGAATGAAACAGACCCATCGACTCACGTTATCTCACCCGACGCCTTGGGATCCCTCAAAACCGGCCGAATTCCCTTTAATAAAGCCTCCAGTCCGAAACAAACGAGCCGTCCACGCTAGCAAACGACACCCGCACAGCGCGCCGCCATCTTTAAACGGCGGCGGCGGCCGCGCGATGGCGACACCATCGCGCTGCCGGGCCGGCTGGGAGAGGAGGAAACGCCGAGCGGCTCTCCGACGGCGGCGCGCGGAGCCTGCTGGGAGAGCGTTCCGCAAAACCAACATGGCTGCGGAAGGGTGTCAGCTGTGAGGATCCGTGTGAGTGACTTTTCCTTACTAACCGCGATCGCGGACGAGCTACGCTTTGCCGGCGACGCGGGGAACGTCGCGCGAACGTCCCGGCAACGTCCACGAACCGACTCGGGGTCGGGGAAGGTTCGGTTCGGACGCGATCGGCGTCGGAAACGGCCGACGGTTCGCGCGGTCTCTCGGACGCCTCGTCGGGGATGGGGAGCCTGCGGCCTCGGAGGGAGCGATCCGCGCGCTCGTGCGCCTCATCCTCCGTCGGATGCAGCGCGGGCGGACGTCCACGGCCGCTTCCACGCGGTTTCGCGCTAGCGCCGGACTCGGTCGCGCCGAGTTTCACTTCGTCGTGGCACCTTGCGATAGCAGACGACGTCCCTCGTTTCTTTCTTGTTTCGGTTTCGTTTTTGGTCATTTTGTGCTCGGCTCATCCGCGAGGTTCTCCGAGACAAACGCTGACGGCTTCGAAACTCCCAAAACCTCTAGGCTGCGCTTCGGGTACAGCCTTGAATCTGCTAGACAAACTCTCAACGTACACTTAGATAAATAGCATGCACTGTGACTTCGCGTCTTTTGAGTGCCGCGTAGCTCCCGGTTTGGATGCCAAAATACTTTTCTTTTTCGCTTTCGACTGTGTGTCTTCGACAAATTGCACGCGCGTTCGGATTCACGCTACACGTTGTTGCTGTTGTTTGTGTTGTGTGTCTGTGAGCGTTCATATGTCTTGTTTGATCGGTTTATGCTTTTTTAATAATGCGCTTTTCCTTTTCCTTTTTTTTTTTTTTTTTTTTTTTCGTGTTGCGCTCGCTCGAGAGCGACCGGCGCTACCCGTAGCGACCGGTCAGCTCGACGCAGCGTCCGAACGTTCGGCGATATGCGATGGAGCGGAGAAGGAGAGCGAGAGGTGAAAGCTTGATATGAAACTGCGAGGGGAAGTTCAGACTCCAAGCGCCGGTTGCTATGGTGATCGGTGTATTTCGAACGGCTCCTTGTTTTTCCCCACTCTTGGGATATTTCTTTTTTTTTTACACTCTTCTCTTTCTACTCTCGCGCACCACTTCTCCTCTATTCGTCTCTTTTGTATCGCTTTGTTTTTATACGCGAGAATCTATCCGTTATTATTAATGCTGTTATTACTGTCGAGTCAGTTCGGTGCCTCGTTGTTGATTATTTTGCTGTTTATGGGTTTTGATTAGGATCAAGCTCCGTGGATGGTCAATTTGGGTTGAAATGAAAGATTAAGCAACGCTTATTATTTATTTAGTTTTCTGGTCAATTCAGGTAGTTTGAGACAAACCATCTTGTAAACTTCCTTAATTGACGTGCTCGCGGTAGGTTGGAATACTGTGACTTGCAGTCGTTAATTAACTTCTCTCTAAGTGACGTTTCGGTTTTCTTTCGTTTTGTGTCGTGTTATAACCGCTTTTCTTGGTTGTCAATTAGGCTTCTTCGCAAGGGTGACAGTTGCATCGGTCGAACTCCTCATTCCTCTTCGAGACTGCCATTAACTTCGGTTATTTTTTATCGGCTAACTACCTTATCGAGCCTTTTACATTCTTACGCAGTCTTAGATAAATAACTCAATTCAGCGCAATAGACCCTTTTCAAAAGTGCGCGCCCTTTGGGGGTCGCACCGAGGCCACCAAAATTACGGGCACGCAATGTGGGCCGGCATTCGACACGACTGTCGCGTCAGGGTTCGGTGCCTACTCGGGCGCCAGTCTATTGGGCACGAGTGCTGCGTCAGCACTCGGCGTGAAGTCGGATCTAATCGCACGCTTGGTACAGGAAGCGACGTCCAAAATATTTCGGCCACCAGTGTTGCTCGATGTGCTTTTGAATGGGGTCTATTAGCACGTCAAAACTCTACTGAATGGTGGGCTAAGAGCAGCCTTTTCAGGGCTCACACGCACGATCATTTTTTTTTTTCTTCTGTCGCTTTCTGTGCGGTTTGGTCTTTCTTCGTATAGTGCTATTATTGGATGGATAATCGCGTTTACACCTTTGTCTGATTTCGTTATGCATTGCAGTTTCATTGACGTCATATCCTTGCTGGTCAACGCGTTCTTTTGACAACATACATTTCGGACCTCCGAATTGGTTTAAAATTCATATTCCTTCTTGCTTTTGTCAAGGGACCGCTGTAACATTCGAAATGGACACAGGGCAAAAGCAAACATACGCGACTTACTTTCCAAGTTTCAACGCGGTAAGAGAAGAACTGAAGAAACATCACAGTTTGTAATATCGCTGGGTGAAAGAAAAACCGGAAAACAGCTCCACTAACAATGCAGCTATAGAGTTTACCAACCGGACCTCTATTGCAGTCTGTATGTATTATCGCAAACGTCTAAAAGCTAGAAAAAAATGTTACGAAAAAAATAATTCCTAAAGACCAGGTGCGATGTTCATTGCGATACTTAACAGATACCCCGCGTCTGACTTAGCACTTATCTATATAGTGCCAACCAGATATGAGGGATGATTCCGATTCGACGGTGATAAGCGACGCGCGCACGGCTGTGTTCAATCGAGCTATCGTTTCAGGTCGACTGATTGGCGGTTCATCAAAATCTTACTAATTAAAAGCGCAAAAAAAAAAGAAAAAGGAGGGAGGAGGGATAGAGTAAGGATTTACGATAATACGAGCGCATTAACCCGACTCACAATATTGTTGCCATTGAAGACGCCCCCCTGTTTCATGCCTGATTTGGTCTCATCGCGTCGGACTGTGTTCCTATTGGCCGGTCATCGTTATTGAGATGTTCGGTGGGTGCTAGAGTCGGCACCGCTATTACTTGTTCGCCTATAAAAATCTACTTTCCTTCTTAGCATTAATGGAAAGAAAGAGAGGGAGAGAGAAGGTTACTACTATCTACGTAGAAAACTCGGCGGACGCTGCGAGTAAAAATATATTTACGCCTAAAAATTGACTCGTGGCGCCGCCGCACTGGACGTGATCGCGAACATGTAAAAACGTCACGCTCGTTGTCACACTTTGCACAGCCGGTTCTTATTGTAACTCCTAAGGAACGTATATACGGTGTGGTCGACGAGTGCGCAGCATATTAAAATTGCTCCCAGCCAATGAGATTCGCAGCGTGGCTAAACAACCAATCTCAAATGAACGAGATAATAAGCAACGTTCTGCGTTTCATAAGCTGTTACACTGCTCGTGTGTCGTATACAACAGACACGCGGAGTTTCTCCGCGAACATATAAGGAGAACATTATCCGCGGGCATGCGTACTCGAAACTTGCTTGCTTCGTACATCTCTGCAGCCTGTCTTTCGTATATGATGTATTGTGTCAACGCGGCTCAAAACGTACTACTTCCGGGCTTTTTGTCGTTCGCCTCGAACCGTCTTCGTACACTCTAAGAAAAAGCCCGAGCGTCTACTTTCCCGCACAACACTCGGAGAGCCAATCAGCGCAACTTACGGTGGCAACTCAGCGAATGACGATTCCGAAACACATGTTTAGACCAAAAAACGCAGTCTGAGTTGTGACATTAAGCAATCCAAAACGTCACGCTTGCATTGCTTAATGTCACAACTCAGACTGCGTTTTTTGGTCTAAACGTATGTTTCGGCATCGCCATTCACTGCGCTGCCTCCGTAAGTTGCGCTGATTGGTTCTCCAAGTGTCGTGCGGGAAAGTAGACGCACGGGCATTTTTTAGAGTGTAGAGGGCAGTCATTGGCTCTTTTGAGTGTTCTGCGGGGAAAGTGTACATGAACGGACCACTTTAAAGAGTGGTTTCCGCTATAGACGGTCTTCTTGTAGATTCCACGATGCAACTCTCGTGTTAAGAACGATGCCAGAGCGTGTTCAGTTTTTTTTTTTTTTTTGGCGCGTATTAAATTGGCCGCGAAGCTCCGTGTATAAGGCTTGATCTGCGCATTGGAAGCTTATATATAGACACGGACAAAACAAAAACAGCACAACGTCAAGTTTTTTTTTTTAGTTTTATTTTTTAGTATAGCCGCGCTTTTAGTAACAGCTTGTTGCCCCTGCGCTTTTAGTAACAGCTTGTTGCCTTCCGCAGTGCATATTGTCTGCGCTTGCACGCTTGAAGGTTACGGGACGTTCGATTGGATTGTTATCGAAGGTAGGACTTTCGTGCCGGAGGCAGTACAACTAAAACTCCCCCCTGTCGTTTTCACCCTATCAGGGACTATATAATACGCCCATGCAGCCTGTTAAGCTTTAGTCAAAGGCGTTCATTGCATTGCGCCTTTAACGCAGTGTGCGAACGAAAAATTGTGCCTTACACCTTTTTGCCGATGTATCGCATTCTACCTGGTGATAGTTACAAAATTGCGAAGGAGAAGGAAAATGGCTTCGAAGGGCGAGGGGAAGAATCGTACTTTTAGTTTCTAGGCTAGGTGGCGCAAGCTACCGGCCGTTATGAAGGGTACCGCCAATAGCATCTATCTATACTGGTGCCGCAGCCCCGACTGTTTTTCTTTCCTAGGTCTAAACGCATTTCCAGCCTAGTCATCCGTGGATTGTGGCGATTGGCTCTGCTAAATGCGTTGAGAGAAGGTGGACTCCCCAGATTTTCCTTGGAGTGTAAAAACAGCGTCTCAACGTGGGAGGCTAGCAGTCAGAGAGGGAGAGAGTGAACCCCCGGGTTTGTAAATTCGGCTTAAATTTACGACGTGGGATGAACGCCGCGCCGAGGAAAAGAAAATAAAGCTGCGAAAGGACCTTAAAAGAGGGCGAAAAGGAAAGCCAAAGGAGAGGATGAAAGTTATCTTTTATTACTCGTTTTGAGTTTGCCCAGCTGTAAAACAAAATGGCCGACGAGCCCCGCCGCGAGGTGTTGCTCGCGAGCCGAGGTGATAAAAACTCTACGCCC